CCCCCAGGAACCTCGAGCCACATCATTCTTTTAAAATTAATTTTTTTCTTTTTTTGAATTTTTAAATAATTTTGAATATCTTGTGTACTTCAATATCAATAAATTGTTATAAAATTAAATTAAATTATAGTTTTATTTTTTTTCTTCATTTTTCATGCTTCTTTAATTTTTTATTTGTTCTTCATTTTTTCTCATCCTCTAAATATTAAGTCTTGTTCTTATGGAAAAAAACTTGCACACGTTAGACGTATGCAGAGCTGCGTAGATCGAAGGTTATTTAGAGTGAGGGGTTATAGGTAGGTTACAGAGATGTTACAGATGCTGTAACCTACCTATAGTCTTTCAATACCCTCTGAATAATATCCGACATACACAGTTCTGCTTACGTCTTACGTACGAAAATTTAGATTTAATGAATTATTTTCATCCTCTAAATATTAAGTCTTGTTCTTGTGAAAAAAAACTTGCACACGTAAAACGTATGCAGAGCTGCATAGGTCGAAGGTTATTTAGAGTGAGGGGTTATAGGTAGGTTACAGAAATGTTACAGATGTTGTAACCTACCTATAATCTTTCAATACCCTCTGAATAATATCCGACATACACAGTTCTGCTTACGTCTTACGTACGAAAATTTAGATTTAATGAATTATCTCCCATGGCCTTCTTTAAAAATATATATATATATATCTATATAATAAATATTTTTTAAAATTATTATATTTCTTCATCAAATCAGCGTGGGAAGAGCAAAAAAATCATTTTTTTTTCTAAATGAGATTTGAGGAAGTGGTTAGTTCTACTTAGAAGAACTATAAATGAGGATTAAAGATAAATAAAGGCTTAAGACAGAGCTTATCGCTTAATCTGTACCTTCAGAATAACGTGAGAGTCGTCGGGGAGGTTCACTGTGATGTCCAGAGCTACCGGAAGAACTAATAACAGAGTAAAACCAGAGTTGATGCTTATTACATTAATATCTGACTTATTAAATGAAGGGGGAATAAAAATGACACCTTTTTCTTCTTTCTTCTTCTTCTCGGCTTTCGATTTACCGCGACCGCCCTTGGGCGCCATTGATGCCGTTGAAGCTCGTCAGCCTGGTCAGTGTGTATGTAAAAGTTAATGAAGGGGATTAAATTAGCAGGAGAAAGGATTAAGAAGAAGGAGCAGGGTGGGGTGGATAAGGCTGAAAAGATAAGGTGAATACAGCAGCCATTAGTTTTTGGCTTAGCATTCGAAAGAGGGATGGTTGGCTAAGATAGTGCTGGTGGAAGAAAACTGAGAAGAGGGCAATAAATTGGGTAACAAATTGGGATTTTGAGGAGGGGAAGAAGGTTTGGGGGGTTGTGGGGAGGGAGAAGACTTACCCTTGAGATGAGGAGAAGCGATGTTGCAGAGAGGAGAGAAACAGAGGAGAACAGAGGAAATGAGGAATGGAAAGGGTGGAGAATGGAGAGCGGAGGAGGAGGAGGGATAGAGGTGCGAGGGATAGGAGAAAGTGTGATAAGGAAGGAAGGGTGGAGATTTAACAGCCGGATATGATATTGGCATCTTATGACTGCCTCACCCTTCAAATCCAGAGTTCATAATATTATTCTTTAGTGGCAATTATATTTATGGAAGCTTCAATTGTTAATTTACAAAAAAAGGATAACTTTTTTATTTATTTTAAAGGGATTATTTGCATAGCACTAAACCATTATTATTTACATATTTCATATCTACTTGTGTGTGTGTGTGTGTGTGTGTGTGTGTGTGTGTGTGTGTGTGTGTGTGTGTGTGTGTGTGTGTGTGTGTGTGTGTGTGTGTGTGTGTGTGTGTGTGTGTGTGTGTGTGTGTGTGTGTGTGTGTGTGTGTGTGTGTGTGTGTGTGTGTGTGTGTGTGTGTGTGTGTGTGTGTGTGTGTGTGTGTGTGTGTGTGTGTGTGTGTGTGTGTGTCTGTGTGCGTGTCTGTGTGCGCGCGTGCATCACTTAAATCTTATATATTTACCTATCATGCACCAAAACTCCAATTTTTATGGGTGCATCACCCAACTTACCCTTTTCTCACAGTAGGAATAGTGATATACCTTTTCATGTATAGATAAGGTGCTTTATCCATAAAATTTGAAGTTTAGGTGTAAGATAGGTGCAGTGAAATACACCTTTTCATGTATAGATAAGGTGTTTTATCCATAGAAGTTGAAGCTTAGGTTTGAGATGGATGCGTATGAAAACATTCCTAAAATAAAATAAAAAAGTGAAAATTTCATACATAGCACCCAATTCTTAAGGATTTACATGTACCTATCTAAGATATAAAGTTTCATTTTTGCACACATCACTTTACCTATGAATTAAAATATGAATTTGACTATTAAAAGGTGATAATGAGTGTTACTTATCATATGATATTTGTAATAATGAAAGTTTTGGTGTGAGATAAGTAAATATGAAATTTTTGGGTGGATTTTGGGTGTTATGTATGTAAAAGTCCCAATAAAAAATAGCACCAACATTAATCGTAGTCATTACCAATTCATATGATGACCACAAATGTGAGCCTCTTTTGGTATATGTCTAACAAACATGTAATTTTAGTTGGCATCTTCTATTTAAAGAACGTTAAACAGTGTTTGATCCTAATAAACATTTTGATGAAATATATTTTGGTGAAATACATTTAAATAACATGGTTAATGAGATCCTAAATGATGTAAATAATAAAATTTGAATGTTACATATCTAAGTTGTAATACTTTAAGTGCTATGTATGGAAATACCTTTTATTTACGTACCAAAAATCAAAGAATTATACTTCATAAATATTTAAAAATATAAACATTATTCATCCAAATGAAGCGTTAAACAATATTTATTATTGTTAAAATATGCTTAAAATTTTCAATAAATCAAAGGAGTTCTAAGCGTATAACTGAGTCACATGTGAAGTTTAATGCATTATAGTTTAAAACTTTCATGTTTTATCATAAGCTAGATTAGAGTTTGATTAAAAATGAATTTCTTATATCAATTAATTTAAGCATGAATTTTGATTGTAAGGATTTGACTCCCAAAGAACACAAAGTATCAAATTTGCTCATATAATAATTTCAAAAAGAAACTTTAGAATCAACCTAATTATTAGACATGCAAATTATAATTAATTAGAAGATTTATTTCATTTCAATGATTCCAATTAGTGCACAAAAAATATAATAGTTTAAGTCAAATCCAACAACCAACAAAGACAAACTGCAGGCCAGTCAGTGACTGATTGAGTTATACTAACCTATGAAGATAATTTGTGTGCTAGTTTGTGACTGATTTGGTAAACCCACTAACACGTGAAGGCAATCTACATGCAAGCTCAAATCAGACCCACTTACGTACAATCTTGGCACTAATTCATTGCCAGCATAATATGATCTAAGGAAGTAGTTTCAACGGCTCTTTGATTCTCCATGGACTCACACAAACTCATTGCTTACAATAGTGATCTAAGAGTTCATAGATCTAATGAATGAGAGTTCATCTGATAGAAAGCATGGGCCTAATTTACAGCTATCTAGTAAAAAGCTAGTCTGCATCAATAATCTAACACCAATTTACTTGTTGCCCTAATCATCGCTCACATGACATGTGACCACAGAGCGTGCTTCTGCTTCATGCTAGTTGCATAAGGTGTTTCAATACCTTTAAAGACATAAGAAAGACCCCCAATGTAATTAAAATTTGTATATTTAAGTTTATTTTATCCTTTTCACTTATGTATTGGATCATGGACCCTCTGCATTTATATATAAGATGTCAATTATTCATAATTATGGGAGGAGTGGAGTGGGTTAGGGGTTATGAGATATATGAAATTAGAGTTATTTAAGAGATACTAGTTTTATTTTATTCTTTTAACTCTCTCACCATCCATCGCTTGTTAATTTTCCTCTATCTTTTCAGTGTTCTTATGTATCTACTAGATAAATTTTAATAAAACATCATTTCATGTGTGGTGAACGTGGGCATGCCACAAACAGTATAGGAGCATTCCAGGATACAGACCAAAGTGACTAAAAAACTTCTTTGAATATGGACGACATTAAAGAGTTTATAACTTAACAATTGGTTGAGTTCGGGAATGAACCAAATCATGATTAAGGAAATGATGGAGCACTTTTCAAGGGTATCCCCTTGAGTAGAGCTACGTATATTAAGGAGGAGATAACCTGAACTTGCTCAAGTATTGCCTTCCATTCTAATAGCAAGAGAAAATGATGATAAGACCTACAACATAAAAAATAAAGACTCTATCTCATATCGAAGAGGAGTATGAAGAATAGAGGAGAAGAGAAATCCTCACTTAGAGAATTTCATCTTTAGACAAATCTCGAAATCAAAACTTACTACAAAATTTAGAATTCAAACTTTTGATTAATATTGGTGCAAAATGGGTTTTTTAGACCATATCACTTAATTTTAAGTAGTAATCTCCTTACTAGTAGAAGAATTTTTTTATTTGTCATTGATCAGTCCACCACTAATCTTTGAAGATTTCTATCTAAATGATCAATTGTATCATTTGAAGAATAATATATTATCCTTATAAGTAGAAATATCACTTTAAAATATATATAATCATTCATATGAGAAAAATATTTAGGATTTATGTGATTGTGTTAACCAAAAAAATTTTCCCTACCTTACAAGTGTATGATAAGATTTATTTTATTCCAGGGTTTAGTATCCCTAAAATAGTAAGTCCTCATAATCAATTACATCCAGAAGTTTTTAACTCCTAAAAAAACTTATGATTAAAGTATTGGCTCATATAATGCAAAATTTCAAGGTTTGTGTTTCAAACAAAAAGATTTGAGATTTGAAGAGATTTCAAAATGAAGAATTTCAAGGTTTGAAAAATTTTCTTAGAATTTAAGGATTTGGACTTACATTCCAACTACGATGTGTAGTGCAAAATGCTTATATAAAAGGGTTAACCAACTTTTGGAAGAATGTGTCCATGGGGATTAAAATTATAAATTTGATGTAAGAGTTAGATTTAATTTGTGTTGAAATGTTTTGTTTGAGTTAAAAGTTTTAATTTAAGTCAAAAATATTTGCTTTAAGTTGAAATTATGATTTAAGTTGAAGGGTTTTCATTTGAAGATTTAATTCGATGCTTGAAATTATTTGGAGTTTGGTTTGAGGGTTGATTTGAAAGTTGGTTTGATTTGAGATGAAAAAGGCTTGCAGGTTCGTTTGAAGTTTGGTTTGAAGTTTAAAAAAAGGGTTGAAGGTTATTTAAAAAGTTTTTGAGGTTTGATTTAAAGGTTATTTTGAATGTTCTTTGAAGGTTATGGTTACTCAAAGGTTCTTTGAAGATTGGTTTGAAGGTTGTTTTAAAGTTTAAAAAAAGTTTGAAGTTCAAAAAGAATTGAAGTTTTAAGAAGGTTTGAATTTAAAAAATAAGTTTGAAGTTTGAAAATGTTTGAAGGTTTAAAAATGTTTGAAAGTTTGGAGTTCAAAATATGTTTGAAGTTTTAGAATGTTTGAAGTTTGTTTTGAAGTTTGAAAAATGTTTAAAGTTTTGAAAAAAGTTTAAAGGTTTGAGAAGATTTGAAAGTTTGGAGTTTGAATAAGGTTTAACATTTATTAGTTTAAAGTTTTGATTTGATGATTTGATTTGAAGGATTATATTTGAGTTGAAAATTTGAGCTAAGATGTCTTAATTTTTGGGGCTTGATTTGAAAAGATTGATTTTTAGGTCTCGAGCCCTCGATTAAAGAAACAAGATTGGCTAGAAAGATTTTTAAATGGAAGTTGAGATCCCAATCATAAGATAAATTTTTAGTCTATAAGGAGTTTAAACAGGTGGACTAACCTAAATTTTGGGTATAACACCCCTAGTCAAGATGCCCACAACTTTTCCTCATCTCAGGTTCATCAGTATCCTTAGACTATTAACCAACTAGAGAGAAAGAGATCTCCACTGCTACCACAACGATTATGAATGTTGATCTTCTTAACTATTATGTGATTTTAGGTGTCTTAGTCAGTAACCATGGACTACTTCTTCTTAGGGTACCTGCATAATCTAAAGGGGTTACAAGCTTATTATTTTATATGTCATAACCTTTAGCACTTACTAAGGGTACATAGTAGTCTAACATAGGCTTCTAGAATGAACTATTCTTGGGTATGTGTGCTCTTAGGATTCATCTCTAAGTTAGTTAACTTAAGTTTTATAGTTGATCTACCTACTGGTGGTTTTTGTTGTTTAATTTGGTGAATTTTTGATTTATTTAATTGGTGAATAAGATATCCACTGCTACCACCAAACCCGAAGGATGCCTTATACATTACTCTCATACCCCTCACTTCTCCACTCCACCATGCCCTTTCACACCACTTCACACCCCATCTACTCACCGTAACCCTTATGTACCAACATCCATCTAGAGTCAACCCAAACTCTTCAAAATAACCCAAAATCACCAAAATACCTCCTAAAAATGCTCAAAATTGTCTAAATGCCCTATTTCTCACCAAAATCATTTAAACCCCCCTCTAAATCGCTCAATTTCCCCAA